CTTCACAAACTGGATGTTATTTACCATGCAGCAATTCGTTTTGCCACTGGTGCACCATTTAATACTCATAACTGTCAACTGTATTCTTTATTGAATTGGCCTTCTTTTCAATCACGTCAACAAACTCATTGGTTTCTGTTTATTTACAAAACTCTTATTGGGAAAACTCCATTATATTTACAGTCACTTTTTAGTATTTAGAAAAGAAGTCGACATATGCGTCGACATATGCATTTATTAACCATTGCATACCCAAAGTTTGCACTTTATTTGGTCGCTACTCTTTTTAGTATTCCCCTGCTGATGCTTGGAATCATCTGCAGCAGACCTTAAAGCTCAACACTTTCATTCCACTATCATCTTTTAAAAATTCAATCCAGTCAATAGTACAAGATCACTGTGCTTGTTTTTAGTTTTTCCTTGGTTTTATATGTTATTATCTGCATTTGTAAATTTGTTATTGTATTACTGTATCAGCTTTTTATGTTGCCTCTTGGCCAGGTCGTCATTGTAAGTGAGAACTGGTTCTCAATTGACTTACCTGGCTAAATAAAGGCTATTATTATTATTATTATTATTATTATTATTATTATTATTATTAGATAACAAGTTGGAATGAAGTTGGCATCATAAACGTACAGCCGACAAATTTGCAGCAACTGTGTGATGCTATCATGTCAATATGGACCAAAATATCTGAGTACTATTTCCAGTTCCTTGGTGAATCTATGCCATGAATGATTATGGCAGTTCTGAGGGCAAAAGAGGGTCCAACTTGGTACTAGTAAAGTGTACCTAATAAAGTGGCCAGTGAGTGTTTTTTTTTTTTTAAAGCTTTATTTCTTATAAAATAAATATCACTGTTTTATACATAGACCTGCTAAACTAGGCAGAGAGAACGGTGATGTTTATAGATAGAAACAGGGAGCAAGTCTTTGGGCTGGCAGACATTGATGCATGCTGTGTACTTCTAGAAGACCTTGGCCCTCATTCCTTTAATGTGAATGAAAATCATCTGAACAAATGCTTAGAGTTTGCCAACTTTAGCACTGGCTGTAACAATGCCTCTTTCAGAGCCTTTGTATAATGCAAATGTGAAAATCATCAAATAATAAGCCGATTCCTCCGAATATTTCTCCTGTCAAATGATCCTTTTTTTAGTTTTTGAGTTTTTTAAGGTCAATATGACAAACTTCTTTGATGCTGGATAGGCTTGCTGAATTACACACCCGTCATATGGCAGAGAGTAATGACTGCGTGTAACAGGACAGATTTTCTGCCAGTCGGTATGCCTACAGACAAGATCGCAGTCTTAGCAAGGTGACATGTTTGGCGTAGTCAAATGCAGCACTGTTCGGAATGGCATACCGTGTCCAACATTCATCTCAGGGAGGAGGGGGACACACAAGGCTTTGCCAGTCTGGCAATCCTGTGTTTTGTGTTAAGGAGGGGTGAGAGCAAAGCCGAGAAATTTTGGAGAATATTGAGGGGGCCGTACCAGATGGTGCACCATGCTCCAGTCTGGCATCCCAACTGCTCTCTCATACCAACCTCCTCCAGCCTCCTGCCTCCCCCCACCACCTCTGTGCCACACGCCACTGATGGTTTGGCACATCATATGTTAGTGTAAATACTCTGCCTGAGTGCATAAACACTTCATATTTTACCCATGAGTAAGAAATACAAAATAGGAAGAAAACGATGAATGAGTTGAAAAGATTCAAATATTTTAGTTTATATAAACAATTTTGGATGTGAATAAAATAAAATAAATAAAGTCTATGTGTGTGAATGTGAGAGTTTATCTGTGTTTTTCCAGTAGAGAAGTAAATCTACACTGGTCTCGCGGTTTGGTTCAGTTACGATTCATGCCATCGATTCGGTGGTTTAATACAAGCAGCCTGATATATGAATTGTAGCCTACCTTTAATTTGTCCTGCTCAAAGAAAACACTCTGCATCAAACAAAACTCAAATACATGCACAGAACAACATGAGCATTTAAAGCAAATAAACAAATGTAAATATCATACATCCGCAAAGGTAATTAGAGATATCTCTAACTTCGTTTCGACTTGTTACAATTATATTTGAAAATATCTGCATTGCATTTGCTCCTAGTTGAATCTGCGTGAGATACTAGTCGTAATCACATTGCAGATATCCTAATTACAATTATGACTAGTCGTTGCAATATAGAGAAGCATGATGTTTACAAAAATGTCAATTAGTCACAAATATTTCAGCTGTGCTTTTTTTTTTTTAAATTCACACCATAAAAACAAAACAAAAACACTATGCAACTATGGTGAGTTAATTTTCACTCTACATTTATATTTATGTGATGTTTAGATTTTTTTCATGTACTTGCTCATCATAATTGAATAGATCCCATTTTGAAAATGAATATTTTTATAAATTTCTCAGAGAATATAGGCAATGTACAGTTAAAGTCACAATTATCTCACAATTATTATCTTCTCTGTTTAACAGAGAAGATTTTTTAAACATTTCTAAACATAATAGTTTTAATAATTCATTTCTAGTAACTGATTTATTTCATCTTTGCCATAATGACCGTACATAATATTTTACTTGATATTTTATATTTTATACAGCTTGAAGTAACATTTAAAGGGTTAACTGGGCTAATTAGGTTACCGAGGCAGGTTAGGGTAATTGGGCAAGTTATTGTATAATTATGGTTTGTTTGTTCTGTAGAAAAATAAAATAGCTTAAAGGGGCTGACAATTTTGACCTTAAAATGTTTTTATTTTATTTCATTAAAATGTGATTTTCTAGCCGAAATAAAACAAAAGATTTCTCCATAAGAAAAAAATATTATCAGACATACTGTGAAAATTCCCTTGCTCTGTTAAACATAATTTAAGAGATATTTAAAAACGGAAAAGATAAATAAATAAATAAATAAAAATAAATAAATAAAAATTTGAAAGGGGGCTAATAATTATGACTTCAACTGTATATTGACATATATTGACATATAACATATACATTTGAGTGCACTAGTTTTTGGACTGTTATCATTAAGTTTGTTAAGTTATTTTGTTAGATAAGCTGTAGATTTGGCTTCAGTACTGGCTAAAATGTATATGCACAAAAAGAATATTGTATAGCTTCCTATTTAAAATATGAATTTAAAAGATAGATTTGTAAAGGTGGTACCTATATATGCACTTTATAACACTATATATGCTATATAACACTTTATCCTTCCAACAAAGAACAATACATGAAAAACATGCTCTAAGTATAGTTTTAAAACTAGAATGTTTTACATTTCTATAAAGGCCTGGATCTAGCTCGCATACATATAATAAAATCTGGTTGAGTTTCATATTTTTGAATCAATTAAAAGTGTTCATAAAGTTGAAAGCTTTGCTTTGTTAATCAATGTAACTGTAGTCATTGTATGTGCTTGAGTCACTAAAATATTATATTTTATATACATATATTATTATTTATGAAAGTTTTGCAGCAGTGTAGATGACCTTTTCTGTCCAAATTAATTTCTCATTAAATATCTGGTTTCACATAAGCTGTCCAACTTACTGTATATTTAAAGCATTTTTTTTGTAAATATGGAAGAATTTATTGCTCTCTCTCTCTTTCTCTCTCTATAATTTATCTGCTACACTGAAAAAAAAAAATTGTGTTGAATTTAAACAAACAAATTAAATTTAGTAATGTTCAACTTAATTTGTTCATTTAAATTCAACCCAAATAATTTGTTTACAACCACTTTTACAAAAAAAAAAAAAAAGTAAATCCTAGAAATCATTTTTGAATCATTTTATTCAGGGTAGTTTAATAAAAACTATAGTATAATTATACAAGAAAAGTATTTGCACTACAAAACATGTATGTTTTTATACTTACAATGTTTGAAAACGGGCGTCATTGTGGCGCAGTGGGTTGCACGATCGTCTCACAGCAAGAAGGTTGCTGGTTCTGTGTGGAGTTTGCATGTTCTCCCAGTGTTCGCGTGGGTTTCCTCCAGGTGCTCCGGTTTCCCCCCAGTCCAAAGACAAGTAGTATAAGGGAATTGAATGAGTAAAATTGGTCGTAGTGTGTGAATGTGGGAGGGTATGATATTTCCCAGTGTTGGGTTGTGGCTAAAAGGGCATCCGCTACATAAAACATATGCTGGATAAGTTGGCGGTTCATTCCACTGTGGCGATCCTTGAATAATAAAGGGACTAAGCCGAAAGCACAATCGCCTCACAGCAAGAAGTGTGTTCCCTGTGTTCGTGTGGGTTTACTCCTGGTGCTCCGGTTTCCCCCACTGCGTAAAGCATATGCTGGTTAAGTAGGCGTTTCATTTAGCTGTGACTACCCCTGATTAATAAAGGGACTAAGCCGAAAAGAAAATGAATGTATGAATGAATGAATTAATCTATTTTTTTAGCTGCAGATACAGTATGTATGATCAACCAGTTTAGTTCCTTACCATATCCACCTGTAACAACAGTTCTTTTGCTTGTTTGTATTACTCAGAGCTTGTCCTTTTGTTCATTACAGTGTTTATCACGTTACCCCACATCAGCAACATGCTTTGTAGGGAGAGTAATTACCCAAGCAATAAGTGAAAAAGTGAGCCTTCTTATTGGGGCACCTTCAATTCTCACCTTCTGTTATAGATAATGAGCCTTTGTCTTGTTTGAAAAAAAAAGTAGAAGCTCTGAACAGTTAGTCTAGGAATCAAGTAGATGATTCCATATGTCACATGCTGAAATTTACTAAATACGACCTGACCAACAGGCTTTAAATATAGAATTATTTCACCTTTTAGTGTATTTCTCAATTATTTCTGGCTTCTGTGAATGCTTAGTGGATTTGTGGATGAAGGAAGAAATTTACTTTATTTTTTGGTTGGATGCTGGGTGGTTGCTGTTTTTGATGTACATGTTTTTAAAAATGTAATATTCTTGTTAAATAATCTTTAAATTCAAACTAACATTTTCTCTCCTCTATTTAAAGCCCATCATCTACGAAGGTCAAGACAAGAACCCAGAGATGTGCCGTGTACTCCTGACTCATGAAATCATGTGCAGGTGAGACTTTTTCTATTTCCCACCCATTTGTACACTGACACCTTTCAAAGTAATTTATCTTTACTTATCTATGCTATCTAAATCTATCAATGCTCAAAATATTGTGTGATAAAGTGTTATCACAGAATATTAGCAAACAGTTATAAACAAACAACTATTTTGAAATAAAAAAGTTGTTGTGGGTGTCATGATCAATTCAGCCCATTTTACTGTTGAAAGAATTTTATAGGGGACTGTGTTCAGCATCCTTCGAAACATAATTAAAATCTATCATGATGTTATATGTGTTTTAAAATCTATTTTACATAATAGTTTAAAGCAAATTTACATAAATATTAGTAATATCACACAAGTAGCAGTGCAGTATGGCTGTATATCGGCACTGGTGGGAGGTGTGCGTTGGCTCCAGGCCGCATTTCAATTTTCAAGGATTACAAATGAGCAAAAACGAGTAGCAGTGCGATGTGGCTGTATATCGGCACTTGTGGGAGACGTTTGTTGCCTTAGTGCCCTATTGAATGAGGAACTATTTTTTTCCACTATTCATTCACATCTGCAGCTGACCGTCAGAACAGCAGAAACTGTTTCTAATTTACCAATGTCACTTCAGTGCTAGTATTTAAATGATTCTCTAGCATAATATCAAAATTGATGACAAAACAGGTGATTTTTCTCACATTTTAAGATCATAAGGTTGAACAGCATAAAATGCCATCAGTCTAAAGAGATTTTCCAATATTTCTCCATTGTAATCAGATCACAATAATAAATCCTGAAACAGCCAAAGCAAAGCAAACACTACCAGATTACTGTTATAAATGCAGCACTACAACATACCTAAGAGAGAGATCGACTTATCACTTACCTACTTTATAATGATTTTATCAGCTGTAGTCTGAAATTCATGATGAGTTGTTATCCCCTAAGCACTTATTATGTGGTCTCTGTCGCCATCTTGTGGCAAAACGTCAACTGTCTTTGAGTCTGCTCAGTATGAAAGGCTGATGGTCACCCAACAAGCTGAGTCTCTAAAATTATAAATATTTAAAATAGCCAATGTGGTCAAGTGTCTTCTATATGCATAAAATATCATCAGAAAATTCATCATCTACAGCTTTCTCTCCTTAAAATTTCAAAGGTAAATATAAAAAGTACAAGTTGTACAAGTGAATAATTTTTAATGTAGCTATTGTTGTATGTAGGTGGGGACTAACCAGCATATTCTTTTTATGTTAAATGAGATAAGGGTATATATATACAGGCCAGTGTAAGAGACGTGTTTCACATACAGTGTTAGGGAAAGTAACTTTTGAAAGTAATGAATTACAATATTGAGTTAATTCCCAAAAAAGTAACTAGTAACTTTTATAGAAAGTAATGCGTTACATTACTTTTGAGTTACTTGTGCATTGCTTTAGCTGGCTGAGGCATGATCTCTTTCAGAACCTGTTTTTCTTTCTTTTTAAAAAAAAAAATAGTGTTCTGCAATTAAGAATACATTGTATAATCTACACATACATTTACCTTTGAAAAACACATCAAAATATGATATTTTTGCATAATGTTATTTGAGAACTTCCTGACCCCAGAGGTATACAACCTTTATTATTTTACGAGGAAAGACAATACTGAGATTAAAAATCTCTTTTACCAAAGCGTCCTGGCCAAGATTAGGCAGTATACATATCACATGTGTCTAATAAAAAAAACAATAAAAAAACAAAACAATTGACAGTTAACTTGAATCACACATTAAAAAACAAACAATTCAAAATATCTACAAGCCTGTGTTTCAATTTCTAAACCATTTATAACCTTTTTTTTTTTAAAGCATTTAGTGAAATCAATTCTTTAAACTGCAACTTTGTTTGTATTATTTTATGCAAAAGGTGCTGCATATTTAAAAGCCTTTTTTCTTCAATTTCAGTCCGCACTTTAGGAACAGACATAGTTAAGGACAGGCCATAGTTAAGGATATATATATATAATCGAAATCAATGTGTGCAAGTGGATGGCCTTGTTTCTAGTACATTAATGTAACTAAAGGAGTTCCACAGGGTTCAGTATTGGGGCCTCTTCTTTTTACTGTATAGGTCCCACTTTATATTGTTACTTATACCTGTGAACTTACATGGTAACTAAATGTGTAAGTAGTATGTAACTAGAGTGTATGTACACACTGGTATATAGTATTTTTGTGTAACAACACACATAACAACACACTGAATAGTATGTGTAAGTTACAATGAGTAACAGGACATTAGTAAAAACACTAAAAAAGTACACATCTGTGACAAGAATTTGTAATAAGTGCATTGTATAACAACAATATTTACTTGCAAGTGCTTTCCCACTTCCACACCTGTTGGCATACCATGTACTTTTGAATATTGTATTAGTATGAGAATGGCAGTACTAACGCTGGATTAGAAGATTTCATCTGTGATACCAGTGTAATTACAGGGTAAATCCTGAGGAACTGTCCACTCAATGTAAAGTGTACAATGGTCACCAATTACTGTGTAATATATAAAACCTAAACCTTTGAGCAACTGTTTAACAACATTGTACACAGAAATATACAATGTTTATATGTTGTTTTAAGGTAAATTGTAGAATCACCTAAATAATTCACATTGAAGGGTGTTTACCAAAGATTGTGTTATTAATGTCCTGTTACACATTTGAACTTACACATACTATTCAGTGTGTTGTTACGTGTGGAGTTACACCAGTATTACACAAATACTATGTACCACTGTGTATATACACTGTAGTTACATACTACTTACATATATAGTTACTATGTAAGTTTACAGGTATAAGCGACACAATATAAAGTGGGACCTAAGAGACCCCAGAACTGAACCCTGTGGAACTCCTTTAGTTACATTCAAAATACTAGAAACAAGGCCATCCACTTGCACACATTGATTTCGATTTGTAAGAGAATTTTTAAACCAACCAATTATTAGATGACATGATTAGATAAACCAATACTTTTGAAGCGTTGTAACAGCAAGGTATGATCCACGGTATCAAAAGTTTAAAAAAGTCAAATAACAGGGCTGCACAATATTTTTAGTGTCCACAGAATGAATTAAATCATTTAATACCTTCAAAACCACTGTAATAGTGCTGTGTTTCTTTCTGATTGAAATTTAGACATAATACTATTTACTTCAAGGAAATCCTTTAATTGATTGTTTACTAATGATTCAAGGACTTAGCCAGCAGACAGTGAAATGGGACGGTAATTATCTGTTTGTGTGGCGTCTCCCCCTCTTAACAGGGGAGAACAAATGTGGATTTCCATATCACTAAGACTTCATTTGTAATAAGTGAAAGATTAAAAATATGTGTCAAAGATGGAGCAATAAAATCAGCTGCTAACTTAAAAAAATAAGGTTCTAATTTATCAGGACCAGGCGATTTAGAAACATCTAAATTCTTAAGGGCTTTACACACCTCAGAAGTTACAATTAGTGAAAAATTAAAAAGCTGTCTTGACTGGCTTCCTATGGGACACTTACAGAAAAAAAGGGTAGACATTGGACAAGAATTTATATTTCTTGCGTGCATGTGTCGAGAACCTGTGTCTACATGTTGCTTACTACGTTTACTTTGAAAGCATGTGCTTTTTATGATGTCGGTTTAAGGACAATAACCAATAGCCAGTAGATTATACAGCTGCATTCTGTTTTAGTTTGCTTGCTTTCATGATTGAGTTTACAGTTACTAAAACAACTACTAAATAGAAGCTCACTTCATGCTAATACAATCCAGGTCAAACCCACAAACCCATGGTGAACAATAAAGCCAAAACACAAGCAGAAGGTGACTTTTTCTGTACTTTTTATATGTATTTAATTAACATCCAAAGATGAATTTGCCTAAAAAGTAGGTTGTGATGATCGACTTGTGCCTATTTTTAGGTTTTTTTTTAACAGTGCCGCCCACCCTTCTAACCCACCCCCTCATGAATATCACCCTGATGCCTGGTTAATTAGGACAAGCAGAAACTCATTACTCAATCTCAAATTTCAGTCTGCTCTGATAACAAATATGCCCTGACTCACATGGAAACATTAACATATATTTATTGGCTTTAACCAGCAATGTAATAAATATATTAAAGATGTTGTAAGGCACTTTTGCAATAAAAAGGACCAGATTTTTTCTCTTATTCTATTTGACAGCTAATGTACTGTATATGCAAAAAATTTAGTGTCCTCATCCCCTTTTTGCCAAATGAGCATAGACATGCAATCATATGTGTATGTATGTATGTATGCAATAGCCTGTATATACCTGAAAACACTGATGCAATTGTAAGCAGAAAATTGGGCTGTTCACCATTAATCAGCTTCGCTAATTGCCACACACCAACATTAGCCATATGGTGCCATGCCAGCTTGCAAGTACAGAACAAAAGTGCTTATTCCCATCATTTTAAACTAAAGAGGGGAAAAGAACAGAGAATGTTTCCGGATGTTGTTTGTTGTGAAACTGGCACAAATTGCTTTTATAAAGACTGAAGTTGTCATAACACAAATTTAATGTCATTAATCAAAGAAATCATGAAAAGGAAACATATGTTTGACTCCAGCAATGGTGGCCACATTTGAGCGTTGACAGAGCAGACTTACATCTTGCTAATTACATGAGCCCATTTTGACATTTCTTCAAAAGCTACATCCGGAAGGAAGCATAGGATCTAAGATGTGATTTTCTTTGGCTGTCTTGATCTTGAATAATTATATAAGGCAAACATTTATAATAGCTATGAGTTGTAATATATATATATATATATATATATATATATATATATATATATATATATATATATATATATATATATATATATATATATATATATATATTATTTTTTTTTTTCCCGTATTTCATTTTTCATTTATGTACACTGTAAAAAATTTGATCTTAAGTTCACAGAAAATTACTGGTGAATAATTGCATTACTTTTACAGTAAAATACTGTATGCAATTCACAGCAAAATAACCGTGAGGTAGTTCACAGTAATTTACTGTGATTAAGTTACATTACATTACATTACTGCGAAATTACAGCCATATAGTGTAACTTAACAGTAGATAGTAAAGTAAATTATTGTGATTTCACAGTATTATCTTGAAGAATTAACTATTTTAGTGTGAAGCAGGCTTTCCTCAACTATTCATTCTGACATTTACCCTGACTTTGAAATGATTTTGGGTGTTTAAAAGTGTTTGAGTTTATTACGTTTTTGGCTAAGCACAAAGTTTGTTAATTAAATATTATTTCATATTTCCATATTAACTTTATAAAACTAAATAAATGTGCAGTACAACAAAAAAGAAAATCTATTTCGACTATTACATTCATGTTGTTTCAAAAAAGACATTTCTTTCAAGTTTTTTTTTTTTTTTTTTAGTTGTAAGCAAATTATTTTTAGGGATGCAATAATATTCTATCTATAATCTATAGATAATAACAATCTATCTATCTATCTATCTATCTATCTATCTATCTATCTATCTATCTATCTATCTATCTATCTATCTATCTATCTATCTATCTATCTATCTATCTATCTATCTATCTATCTATCTATCTATCTATCTATCTATCTATCTATCTATCTATCTATCTATCTATTTGTCATTCTATCTATCTATCTATCTATCTATCTATCTATCTATCTATCTATCTATCTATCTATCTATCTATCTATCTATCTATCTATCTATCTATCTATCTATCATCTATCTATCTATCTATCTATCTATCTATCTATCTATCTATCTATCTATCTATCTATCTATCTATCTATCTATCTATCTATCTATCCCGTCTGTCCGTCCGTCCATCTATATCTATGTACATTGCATCTATGTATATTGTACATTTTAAAGTTGTTATTTTAATTTGTAACATATCTTGTACATGTTTAAGTGCATGCATCTATTTCTGTGTGTATGCATATGAATTTGAATGTACAAGGTTCTGTCTATGTATGTCTTGATCATTAGGTTCCTACAAATCTTCTTTATGAACTGTAAACACACTCACACACGCAGATGCACACAAAGAGGCATTGCCTTGTTCCAGTCCTTTGGGAGGACACTGACCTAGTTGAGAAAGCCTTGTAAAAGAAGGGACAAAAGAGATATAGATGTAGTTAGAAATTTTAGCCCTCTGTTCATGATGTGGTTTTAAAGAAAGTCATTCATCAACCATACCCAAGAAATAAACACATTGGTCCTTTTATATATATATATACATACATACATACATACATACATACATACATACATACACACACACACACACACACACGTACGTATGTACGTACGTACGTACGTGTGTGTGTGTGTGTGTGTGTGTGTGTGTGTATGTGTGTGTGTGTGTGTGTGTGTGTGTGTGTGTGTGTGTGTGTGTGTGTGTGTGTGTGTGTGTGTAATAGAGGCCGACTTCGATACAAAAGGTTGCTGGATCGATCCAAGCTCGGAGCGGGTTGGGTGGTGTAGAACCGGCGGGGTTACATTTACATATATATATATATATATATATATATGGACCAATTCATGTTACTTGACTACACTTGTAGTCCATGACTAAATTCTAAAAATTATCATTTTCTAAAATAAATAGGTGGGAATCTGGTAAGAAGAAACTTTAAGGGCAGCAAGGAGGGAGCAGAGAGAGTTGTAGGAAGAAGAAAAAGTGATGGGGCGAAAACAATGTCAGCACTATCATGTGACAGTTTTCTCTCCAGCCTTTATTCAGTATCCTAGTGCCATCTGTGCAGTAGAAATGTGATGCTGGTGGTCTCCCAATCACCACTGTCGTTCTGCTAGACCTTCACAAATGGGAATTCTTGATCAACTTGCAAGCAAGCAGTACTGTTAAACACAAATATATGCAGTTTTGTGTTTTTGTGGTGGTGTAGTGCTAAAGTGAGTGATATAAAATAAATGTAAATGTCAGCAAGACAAAAGAAAAATCCTTCTTATCTTCCATTATTGATGTTTCTATTCTTGCAATCCATCACGACTCGTCTGTTAAAATATTAAGAAGAAAAAAGTCTTTTGTCTTTCATATTTTAGTCAATGTCACTTGCTCTGCCTCTGAAGGAACTTTCCTATTTTATTGATGTCATTTCACCCTCTTTTAAGCCACTCCCCTTTAACATCTATCTGAAACTAGTTTTCTGTGTTGAATTAAAATACTGTTGTGTTTAGTTTAGCTTTCATGAACATTGATTTGTAAAAATAAAACCCTAAAATGCCTTATTGAATGCACAATACTGCTTTCTTAGCTAATTTTGTTTTGTTGTTGTCCTTTTAGTCGATGCTGCGACAAAAAGAGTTGTGGAAACCGCAATGAGACACCCTCTGATCCAGTCATCATTGACAGGTAGGTACTTGTGTGTCTAAAAACATTTGATACCTTTGTTTTTATAATCTCACAAAAATAGAGTCTGTGGTTGAAGTTTTCGTGACATGCTGAAGTAATCACGGTCTGCTCCGTGTGTGTTTAAGTCACTTGTTAGTGAACTGCTCTGTCAAATATTTTTAAATTTTGTTGTGGCGTTAGGATTGGCTGAGCACAAACACTTGATATTTATGTGCTTTTTTATTGCTGTCTTTGCTTAGGTAAATTATTGGCATAAAGTCTTTAGACATAGCTTTTGTTAAAAGTGTTTATATAATTTCTCTTGAAAAGATGTTAGCGATTGAGATAATATCTACATGGTATGTACTTCAAATTGATATCTGGCCTGGTTTTGAATTTTGGTTCCCTTTGAATTATGGTACAAAAGACAGTGTTCTTGGTCCCTTTTGTTCATTCTTAATCAAACCCACATGTATAATGAGCTGCAAAACAATAGAGGCACTCACCCCCCCCCAACCCCCACCCCTCAAAAAGTCAACCCCAACCCCCGATCTTCACTAGCCTGCTCTCACCATCTCTTTCGGCCCCTTAGGGCATCGCTTTCTTTCACCTAACAATCATCTTTATAAATCCAAAATTAAACCCTGCATCCCTTTTGAATGATGTAATTCTAGTTGTTATTGTTAGCATTGATGCTAATTGGATTTTTGCAGTGCTAAATGCTTCACAGTCCTTGAGGTGCTATCATCATTGTTCATGTATTTTGCTACAAGCAAGCAGTGTGGAGTTATGTGTTTTATAATGTGGAAGCAATTAGCTGATGTCTAAGAACATTTACTTTGACAGGTCAGGGTGCTCACTGCTCAGGATTGAGCTAAACAGTCGCAGCAAAATGGTTTGCATCCGCTATGCTCAATGAAAATTTTAAAATATTTCTTTGAGACATTATATTGGAACATGAGCAAACCTAAAGAAGTGCTTTGAAGAAAATCAGAGCTTAATCGCATTTAACTTGGTCTCACTGAAATGACCATTACCAGCACATTTGTAGCTTTTCAAGTTCTCAAGATGCCTTTTTTCACCATAATCTGCCCATGGCACTGGGAAAGTTCACAAATCAGGGATATATCTCAATGAGAATTTATTGCTGAAAGGGGAAACATTACTTGATTTACACCACATGAGATTATGTACTGTATATTTATGCAAGTTTTTTGTGCAGCAAACCACTACACTGTATAAAAAAAGTCAGTAATTTTACAAAATTTTCAAGCTGCAGGGAAAAAATGTAAAATAACGGCTGTTAAATTACAGAAATTTACCAGAAATTTAAATTTAAGGAAAATTCTGTAATTTAACGTCCGTTTTTTTTTTTTTTGGCACCCTAGCTGTCAGAAAAAAAAAGTCAAATTACGCATTTTTTTACAGTGTAGTTCAGAGATTTTTAACCGGTAGGCCTTAGCAATCCAGCAGGTGGGCCGCGAGATAGCTTAAAATGAACTTAATTATTGTACTATAATTAATTACTCATTTTTCTGTTATTGATTACTTCAGACTTGTTGCAAAAAGAGTCTCACTGTAAAATACAGACTTAACCTTGGCTGCACTTCCTACCGCTGCACGACAAATAGGACTACATGCCCAGCTGTATAAACCAATCCAACACGCAAATGTAAGTGTAACGATGATTAGAGTTAAACCAGTTTGTGCGTCCCTCACATCTGCGACTTGTATCTATGCTAGAACTCTTTTCATGAACTCATTAAAATATCAGCATAGTTGTCCAAATTAGTGTTTTATAATGTGAGTGGGTGTGTTTTATAACGGACGCACACCCATACAGGAGGATCTAGTGGGTGGTGTTTTAGTGAACAGCTGTTCACTACTGTCAGCGAACTCCATCAATTGCCTAAAAACCCAACCACCTTTAAATCGATGTGTTTTAACAGACTTAGATTGTTTTTACTGTATTTTACTTTTTTTTTTTAATGGATACGATCAATAGATAAATAATAGTGAGTCCAATTCAAAGCAGCAGCTTTTTTAATCATCTTTGTCCTGTTCAGGTTCATTTATTTAAGAAATTGCTCAATACTCTGCAGTTGTTAAAAAAATGCATGAAGAATTCAGGAGCAATGAATCTGTGTGTGTGTGTGTGTGTGTGTGTGTGTGTGTGTGTGTGTGTGTGTGTGTTAAACAAACAAAAAATAATAAATAAATAATAAAATAAATAAATAAATAAACCTGCAAAACAAAAAAAAAGTATATGTATATACTATAGCTGTAGAAAAATAAGATAATAATAGTATAAGCAAAATAACAGTTTTGCTAATAAATAAAGGTTTACAATATTTACAATAAGCATTTTCAGTTAAAAAAAATGTCAGATGTGGTCTTCAAAAAAGTTTTGGAGAAGGAGGTGGGCCTCGAAATGAAAAGGGTTGAGAACCCCTGGTGTAGTTGATATGTAACGTTTGTCCAAAGCTGTTTAAGCTTATTTATGAAACTTAAATCTCACTGAAAAGAAAAAAAGGTTTCCCACTATTTTCCAGCCTGATCTTATGAGGAAACATAACAGTTTTACTTTTTGCCACTTTAGGGGGTAATTCAGACAAATTTATACCATCATAGATAAGCAAATTGTACTAAAATGTAGGAATGAGATCATAAAAATTCATACAGATTAGCCACTAAATCAAAAAGTTATGAATTGGTGTGCTCTGCTTGTTTAGTTCAAGTTTAGACAACAGTCTGTTCGATTTCAGCCACTGACCTGCTCTTGCAGAATGGACTCAGGTGTGACTGGAGCTGCTCAGCCAACCGCAGTTGGATGCCACAGATCTGCTGCCCCTCAACATACCTGCTTCACAAATTTAGGGGTAGCTGACAGAGTTTATGCTTCACTTGACCAGAATCGCCAAAACTCTTGGGAGCCAGCTGTGACTCATATGCCTTTAAACCTCACTGAGCTATCAGGCTCGATATGAATATATAGTCCTACTAAAGAAACTCACTTGCATAGGTCTCATATAGGCAGTAAACAGAAAGTCTTGGTAAGTTTAAGGCCTTTAATATTACGATATTACTGTTATTATTGTTTGGTTATTCTTCAAACATATATTGTATACTGTAGTCCGCTAGTCTTGGAGTATCTCAAGTATATTACATGAACTTTTTACTACTATTTATTTTAGTATTTTTATCAGAGTATTTTTTTATTTTAGGAAACTTTTAATTTTATTCCACTATATTTTTTAAAGCACAATATTGTATTTATACTCCCCATTATTTCATAATTGTAGAGGAGTAACAGTTTTTTGTTTCATTTTAAACTGAATAAATCACCACCCACTTGAAAACATGATAGACGCGTCATATTAGGTAACAAGTTGAATTTTGTCAGTTAATTTAAGCTTGTACTTTTGAACTTTGACTGAAGTAAAATTTTATTTACTTTATACTTTTTTTTACCAGTACTTTTACTCAAGTGCATGATTTGTCTTTACATTTCTGTTGTCCTCCTAACAGTGGTGTAAAGTAAATTACAACTACTCAAATTACTGTAATTGAGTAGTTTTTCTTAGATATTGTAATTTAATGAGTAGTTTTTAAAATGTGTACTTTTACTTTCCATTGAATACATTTTAAGTGCATTATTTGTTCTTTTACTGCTTGCCTTAATGTTTTCTTGTCTATGGGGATTTTAATCAGTCCTGTCATTCCTGTCCAATCAAATCGCACATAGAGGGTAAATCGCATCATAACAATCTACCTCAAGACATAGGCACTTTATAATTGCAGCAAACTGTTTGGAAGCCTTAAAGATGTCCAAAATCTTACGTTGTACCCCAGTGTCATGGGGACGTTGCAGTTTGTTTTAAATATAAACATCAATGTCCAAATGTCAACCTGAAATATTAACGTCTAATGATGTTGCAGCTTGATGTTGTGTGGACGTTCCCACTATGACCTCTATCAGATGTTGGATTTTGGTTGCCATAGCTGATGAATATACCTGATGAATAATATAAATAAGATGTTCGTTGAATTTTGGTCAACCGACATCACAACCTAAATTTAACCTATTATTAACGTCTTCTGACGTTGTGTGCCTGCTGGGCAATGACTAAATGCTACGTTTACACAAATCCACAAATTATATGTAAATGCATCAGCTTTTTACAGCGTAATACTCACTACTCACGACTCAGCACTTTTGGGTACTTTTGAAAGGTGTACTTTTTATTCATACTTTGAGTAATATTTACAACAGATACTTTTACTCTTCTTCCACTACATTTTTAGGCAAGTACTTTTACTTAAGTATGATTTTTCAGTACTTTTTACACCACTGCCTCTTAATCAGTAACACTTAATTTAGTGTATTATTTTATTTGCAAAACTCCAAACAACATGAACAGATTGCCACAGTTTAATTGAACACACTTACACTCATGTTTCTGGCAAACTTGTTTCTTGTTATCAGTTGCAATTTTTAGCAACACTAAATAAATAATTTAGTCTATCTCTGTCATGCTATTACAGCATGATTAAAAAAAAAAAAAAAAAAAAAACTGATGCATTTGTTCAGCAATTTCCTCCTAGTCATTTTTAAACAATCTCCCAAATATTATTTATTTGTATGTATGTATATAGTTGAAGTCTGAATTATTAGCTCTTCTTTAAATATTTCACAAATGATGTTTAACAGAGCAAAGAAATTTTCACATTATGTCTGATATATATATATATATATATATATATATATATATATATATATATATATATATATATATATATATATATATATATATATTTTTTTTTTTTTTTTTCTTGAGAAAGTCTTAATTGTTTTACTTTGGCTAGAATGAAAGCAGTTTTTAATTTTTAAAAAAACATTTTAAGGTCAATTTAGGCCGCTTTAGGCTATATATTTTTTCAAATAGTCTACAGAACAAACCATCGTCATACAATAAGTTACCTTATTACCCTAACCTGCCTAGTTAACCTAATTAACCTAG